TCTTTTGGCACATTATTTCAATTCTATTAGCTATTGTGGTAACACCAGTACTTTTATTGATTATAACATTTGTTTGGTTTGAATAATGTCTTTGAATGGCACACGAATGCTATTTGTTGTTCTGGTAGTCATGGCATTATTTATCATAAGAACAAAACGTCTACATGTACGAGTAGGACATTTGTAGGATTGTACGAAAAGTCACTGAAACAGATGCGTGCTGGATTTGGACAATGGTACCTGACAATGTGACCATGAATTCCGTGTCACTTCTCCATGTTGTTCTTATTTTCATCGGCTGGGAAATCCCCGTGACGTCATTGGGAAACACCCCGCTTTTTCAGTCTCTAACACAAATGAGTTCTCTGTCATATAGGTATCTGAACTTACGATCTGTGATATATTTAAGATACTTTATCTGTATCTAATCTTAATCTAAACTGTGTGAGCTTGCGAGGAGGTTCACACGAAAGTTTAACCAGCGCTTTTAAATCGTTCACACTTCAATGAACCAATCCAAACTGACGTTCAATTCTTATAATTTCATACTTTGTAGTTTACTGGTCTCGCCGAATAATATCGTAATAATTGTTGCTTGAATTTGACGTCCTCTGGTTTTGCCGAAGGACATTGCAACAATGTTATTTTGTCGTTATTTGCCGGCTCTCGGTCACATTTCCCCACTCAGGCGCCCCACTTATATCCAGTTCCGCAAAGAAAAATAGTTCTCTGAGTATATACAACATAATCTAGAAATATGTCAACATAATTTCATTCTCTGAACAAATTTACAAACAATATTTGGGATAAATCAAATCTTTAAAATAGGTGTGCTATAATACTTTGCTTAGCTAGTGTCTCTTGTCACCTGAGATGGGCCAACTGGCTCCATTTCTGTGCCCCGTCATTCCTCATGTGCGCCGCTTCTCGGCCTAAAATGTACGGAGGAGGTCGGCCAACTCAGAAACCGGAATATGGTAATTCCGTCTACGAATATTGTCTCCGATGACCACTCAGTAAAACAAGTAGGCACGGGTTTTTTTTAATTCAGTTTCTTTCCTTACCTTTATTTGTTTTATGGTTTCTCAAAATCTTGGATTTTTTTCCAAATACGATAGTGAATCGGGTTTTAGTTTGGGATTGATCAGGAGCAGTCGCTTTGATCTGTGTCAGCAGCCACATCTGAGCAGGGTATGACATTGTTTTCATTGGTGCTAGATTCCTGTCATTTCCGAAAACAAGGCTTCAAAGTCAATATCGCTCATTTAATAAAATCAATTTCGTTCACCTCAGTAATTTTACAGAATTCATTTTCTTTACTTGCGTTATTAATATTGAAAGTTCGCCATTCCATATCCAAATCACCGTGAGGACAATCCATTTTGTAGGCCTAGCAGCTAGACGACATTAAACACCAGAACCAAGCATTTATTTATTTTTAAGTCAGAAGAAATTACAAGAGAAAGGCAAAAATACTAAATTAATTATATTCCTGATAAATGCACGGAGAAGGTCCGCCAACTCAGAAACCGGAATAGTAGATTTCTAATTCCGCCTACGGATATTTTCTCGTCTCCGATGATCAATCGGTAAAACAGACTAGTATTATTATTTTTTAATTTATGTTTTATGGTTTCTCCAAATCTTAGATTTATTTTTCCGATGCGATAGTGAATCATGTTTTAGTTTGGAATTGATCAGGAGCAGTCGCGTTTGCTCTGTGTCAGCGGCCAAATCTGAGCAGGGTACGACATTGTTTTCATTGTTGCTAGATTCCTGTCACTTCCGAAAACAAGGCATCAAAGTCAATTTCGCTCAATAAATCAATTTCGTTCACCTCAGTAATTTAACAGAATTTATTTTCTTTACTTGCATTATTAGTATTAAAAGATAGCCATTCCATATCCAAATCACCGTAAGGACAATCCATTTTGTTTCATGTAGCAGCTAGACGACATCAAACACCAGAAACAGAGCATTTATTTATTTATAAGTCAGATGAAATGTTACAAGACCAGGCAAAAATACTAAATTATTTATATTGCTGATAAATGCGGGGATTAAAAAGAACATTGAAAAACGAGTTGATCGTAAACACGGATCGAGAATTCGGGGAAACCTCGGAAAGTAGTTCCGGCAAAAGTTCACACGATTAATTTCACAAAAAATTGTTCACATCGTTAGAACTTTTTTTGTCCGTTCACAGGTGTGTGAACTCTAAATATCAGATCACGTGACTACCCATTCAGCCAATCAGCATGAGAGAAACAGTGTAAACTTGAAAGTATGAAAATATTTTCATTATTGTTATATGACACTGACTTCAGTGGTCTGCATGCTTCAAGTGGTATTTCTCTCGACTGCTGTCATCGAATTCGGTATACGCGACTACTCCATTGTCTCACTACAAGGTATCCCGATGGGTTGGCCTATCTTAATCAGATGGCTTGCATCTCTAAAACATTTAAGCTGGATAAAACACTTCTCAATTGTAAACACAAAATGCAAGCCATCAGGGTCTGGTATAGCCATTGGGACTTCGATCCGTGCGCTTTTCCCCTCCCCTCGTGTTGATATTTACAACTCAAACCAATGTTTTATTCCTTGTGTTTACATGTATTATGTTACAATGTGTACATGGAGTCAGCTTCTTCAATTCACGTAAAGGATGAAACAAGTGAACAACATGGCATATGGCATATTTATGATGTAAATATGTTCTCTAGATTCAAGTACATAACTATTGTGTCCATTGGACAGACATTCAGGATCCATTATGTTGCACATAGTATTACGGGGATTGCAGCACTAATGGATGCTGACACTGACACAAGGTGAAGTGAATTACTGATCAGACAATCCTCCCTGTGGATTCCAGCTTAGAATTCGTCCCAATGCTATGTTTGATGTACCAGGCGGCTAACAACACCACCGACAAAAGGGAACTGGTGAAATGAAGGCGAAGGTGTAATGACGATAAATGTAAAATTAATTTCGGGCGTGTAGATTAATACCTGTGTGTCCATCGTGTTGGGGATACATGCGGGACACCTTGATGACACTGTTGATTAATTGGTTGCCCTTGGTATTGCCCCACAATTCAACCTGAAGATCTACCCCAAGCTGGGCCACGTTGGAAGGTGTGGGTCTATAGGGTACACTCTTCACAAGAGGACGCCCTATTGGGGACATGTGACCCGTGAAGATTCCGGGGTAGAATAGGTCTTCAGCAACCCATGCTTGCCGTAAAAGGTGATTATGCTTGTCGTAAAAGGCGACTAACGGGATCGGGTGGTCAGGTTCGCTGACTTGGTTGATGCATGTCATCGATCCCAATTACGTGGATCGATGCTCATGATATTAATCACTGGATTATCTGGTCCAGACTCGATTATTTACAGACCGCCGTCATATAGCTGGAATATTGCTGAGTGCGGCGTTAAACAACAAACCAACCAATATTGGGGACATGTCAGGGGACTTAGCGGGCCAGTCAAATGTCCGAATGCGTTCTCGTCGGAAATTATTGGTGACGACCTGACTCTGGTGTGGTCTAGCATTGTCATCATGCAGTTCACAATTTTTGCCAAATGGAACAACGAAGGTACACAAAATTCGTATATCGTTGGCCAGTGATATGCCCATTCCAAATAACCAAACCAGTTCGCCTATCATGTGTGATACCGCCCCACACCATGACACTACCGCCACCATACCGACCAATGTCAAGAATTGTTGCCCTGGCATACCGCTCGCCGCTACGTCGCCAACAACATTTTCTGCCATCTGTGAATCGGTGACAAACCTTGATTTGCCTATAAACAAAGTATAACGCCACTGGTACTGAGCCTGGCCGTGGTGTTGCCTAGCTCACCCCATGTTTTGCCGCCTATGTTAAGTTGTTGGGGTATCAGTCCTCACAGGAAGCCTTGCTTTCAGATGGGCTGCATAGATCCGGTTTTATAGGCAGATGTTGCAATTCACCTTCCTGTTATTATAAGGAATTCTCTATTGATAACAGGAGCAGATTCGAATCTATTTTGTAGTGCAACTAATTTAATTAGACGATCTTGTCTAGGTGTCGTTTTTTATTGTTTGTCGGTAATTTATGTCGACTCGGTAAATCGCATGTCATCATACCTCCAACGACAAAAAATGTTGCTCACAATATCATTCACTGCATTGTCTGGTCCAGGCTTGATTATTCAAAGGCCGCCATCGTATAGCCAGGATATTACTGAGTGCGGTTTTAAACGACAAGCGGGCTTGGTTTTTTTATGCAAATGAAAATGACTGTTGACTGTTGTTAGATTTGATTAGGCCTAATAAAACATTGTTCATTTTTCACAGTTTGAAAAAAGTAAACATTGGTTTTTTTTCACAGTTTGAAAAAAGTAAAGTAATCTGTGGCTTGGGAATTTTGAATATAAATATATTGGTTAAAAAAGCCTGTGGTAAGAAATAAATTTGCAAGCACATGACGCCTACCATGTTTGAAAGATTGTTTATTTGTACCGGAAAATGCAAATTTATTTATTTTCTCAAAAAGATACCCATCAGCATTTGTGTTATCCGAATGGTAAATTTCATTTCACTTTTAAAAGTTTTAAATCAAATTATGTATTCTTTGACTGCTGACAAAGGGCCAGTACAGTTCATGTTTTTATACAATATCGTTAAATTAAGATATTTTCAGCTGATAATCAAACGTATGATAGAATCAACTCAGGGGTATAGTTTCTTTTCCTTCGGGTAGCATCATCCACAATTTTCATAATTTGTTGGATATTTGGTTTCAGGAAAAACACCGTGTGTAACATAGTGTTCACCAGTCATGCGTTCATCAGAGTAAAACGTGTTTTTGATGTCAGTGTTGAGTAGCTCGGTTATCTTAAACCATAAGGACAGTACAAAGATGGATTTTAAAATATACATGACAGTATTAATGTCAAAACCGGTTTATGTTCAAGTGCAAAATCAAAGGAGTAAAAGAGTCCTACCTGAAACATGTGTCATCCCCGGGAGGAAACAGATGAAGACAACGCACGTTATTGCAATTCTAGGCATCTTGTCCTAAACTGGGAATTTTTCCAAACGTTCAGAACAAACTGCACTGTCTTGTTCCCTCCTGCCTCGTCTCAAGCACAACACCGTTCAGCGTCAGTTCGGCTTGGAGTCCAATGTACAGCCCCAAGACAAAACAATTAACGAGATATTTGAACCAAAACACAGCTACACCCTAGTCTCCGTATATTCTCAACACTGCATCAATATAATGCCGCTCATTATCAACATGGCTAACCATCACATTCAACACTTCATCCCAGACTCACTGTGGACACATTTAGTCCCATCACTCATCATGTGATGGACGGTATAATCCACGTATGCTGCAAAGACACTTCAGATCACAACTATTGATCATTCAGTGTCGATTCCTCAGCATCAGTGTTCTGGTACTGAATGGGCGTTGTCTTTCAAAGTATTTACAGCGCAATACATTGTTTTATCATAAAACGGGGAGGTTTCTCGGCAGGATAAAGACAACCGATAATAACGATATCCGTTGGGGTTCTATGGGGCTAGAGATGCAAATATCAAAGGTCAAGTCGGGACTACTTTCAGTGTTTATAAATAAATATGGCGTCGCCCTTGCCATTCGGCGATCGAGTTAGAATAAACTGTCGGGAATCTAGACAAACTACTGGGATAATTGCTGTAATTATCAAACGTATAGTCTAATATACTTAAAATCAGAGTCTAACTCTGACGTAAGGCATGTTTCAAGTTTTGGCAACTTTAGAGATATAAATTGCGAAAACAATTTTGCGAAGGCACTACGCAGGCGGGATCAATTGCCATATCTGTGCTTGTAGACCTCAGCGGCTTGAAACCTTTTCCACAATTTATAACAGTTGGATTTGTCTGAAATATGTCCGAAAATGTTACCTTGTTTCGTTTTGTCGTCGTGTGTACATCAGAGTGCACTTCGTAAAGTTATGACAGGACAGGCCGACTGCCAACAACGGTCGTGACGTCTCGTAGACTAGGGTTAGGGTAGCTTCCCTTTGATAACGGACAGTTACTCTAGCGGTAAGACCGATGGATTGCCGCGACAGGCAAGGAGAAACAAATTGTGGTGGCAGTTGTTGTTTTGCTTCTATATAGTTATGCCACTATAAGAAACAGGTTTCAGTTGGAGCTATTTTGGCTACTGTCACTTAACGACTGAAACATCACTCACCTTCTCACCAAGGCTCGCTAAATACAATGTTTATTTCTAATACAAGATATCTACCATCCCCAAACACCCTCGCGTGAGAACCCCACAGAGACAAATTATTGATGCTCTGTTGTTTTCCGTTCACCAGTGTGCTGCAGCAATTTCATCATTTTCTTATCAAAGAGGATCTTGAAAACTCTGTTCACCTTAACCTAAGGAACAAACGTTGTTGTGAAAATATGCATGTGCGATGAGGTGAGGTGGGTTTTAATGTCGCGTCCAAGATTATTGCCCTTATATAGCGACGTGCATGCACGTGTGTGTGTGGCAGCTTGTACTAGTCCAGACTAATGCCTATTCTATGGTGCTAGCCCACTGAGATACCATGCCCCAGTCTGACATGAAAACCCCACTCAGACACGGTATAATGACTCCGAGCCAACCAGTCCTTGTTTTAGCCCCTTAATGCCGAACGCCAGGCAGGGTAACAGCAAGTACAATCTTTTAACTCTTTTGGTATGACGCTGAGAGGATCAAACTTTCCGCTATCCTGGGGGATACTCTACCACTACACCACGGAGGCGATCGATAACATACATATACCTTGTTGTATCCATGCATTTTTGTTAAATTAAAAAGTGAAAGCTTCTACTTCATCAGTTGAACAGACTGACAAGCAGGGGTTTGCCATGAGGAAAACATTTGATTCGATAAGATGATCACCATCCTGTCTGATATGAATCAGTATTGATTCAAGCACTTAAAAGGTCACATGCCGTTCGAACATATCATAGACGTGTTGCACACATTGTTAACTATTATTTTTCAAAGCTTGGCTCCATCCAACAATTCCTGATGTATACTCTTCACAAAATGTAGGGGATCAGGAACATAAGTGTAAGTACTAAGTATTAGAACAAAGATAAGTGTTAACAAAAAAACATCCTATACAAGAACCTTTTTTACTTTAAAACATGACATCTAAACACATCCGATAGTTCCGCACGCAGTACCACCATGCTCGTGTGTAGAGTGTCATTCCTGGTTTTTACGCTTTCAAGGAAGGTCGATTTTATTTCTGTGGACCATTATTTCTGTCAATCTTATTCATTCTGCTTATCACATAGTTGTGATTTACTTGATTTATTTCGTCGTTTGTGTATGAACTTCAGGCTAATGGCATGCTTGAAATTGGCAGAAGTCCGCGTTCAGTGGTCAGTTCCTTCAAAGTTTCAAAGTCTGTGATCAGCAGACTGTTCGGGTACTAAAAAACCCCAAATGTTGACAAGGGAATGAGATCAGGATCGATTGATCACGGTAACACACACACAATTTATCAACGTCTGTTGGTATAACGCGGCGAAGGGATCGAACCACCGACTTTCATTACGTACAGCGTTATGTTAATGATGTTGGTTGGTTGGTTTGTTGTTTAACGCCGCAATCAGCAATATTCCAGCTACATGACGGCGGTCTGTAAATAATCGAGTCAATCCAGTGATTGATATCATGAGCATCGATCCACGCAATTGGCATCGATGACAGGCATCAACCAAGTCAGCGAGTCTGACCACCCGATCCCGTTAGTCGCCTTTTACGACAAGCATAATCACCTTTTACGGCAAGCATAGGTTGCTGAAGACCTATTCCACCCCGGAATCTTCACGGGTCTGTTAATGAGGTAGTGAGACGATCTTCTCTAGAAGGCGTGTTCTTAGGCCTGCCACGACCGGGTCTCATTGCAACCCAACCCGTTTGACAGTCGAGAAATGCATCAGTGATTGTGAGTTCCCCTATAGGGCACACACTTTGTCTTCTGTGTGCACGTGCAACACGTGCTGTTCATGCATGATGGGAAATGTCCTTGTGAGTGAGTGAGTTGGGTTTAACGTCGCTTTTAACAGTATTCGAGTCATATCACGGCGTGTCAGCTTATTGTGGGAAGAAAGCCCGAAGTGATGCAGGTCTAAGACGTTTACCACTTCGGTGAAACCCACGAGCACAGGTATGGTGCTGACAAACCTAGAAACATAATCGGGGCGGACCGGAATTCGAATCCACAATCATAGGTTTCTGGCGTGCCCAAGGGACGCAACTCAGCACAGCGAATCGCGGCGCCTCAAACGACTGGGCCACCCGTGCCCCCGAAATGTCCTTGTGATTAGATGTTACGTTCAGATGCAACACCACAGTATCGTAAATGTACACTTCAAATATAGCTACATTCAAATCATTAGTTCCTATACCTTATTCTGTTGTATATAGATCGGGTCGTCTAGCACGGTTAACCGCATGTTATCATACCCCGACGAAGTAGATCGTTGCTCACGATATAAATCACTGGTTTGTCTGGTCCATCTTTGTTTATTTGAAGGCCGCCGTCATATAGATAGTATACTATTGAGTGAGGCGTTAAACAACGAACAAACAAACAAACCCTGCATCGAAAGGCAGACATATACAAATGCTAGTATGCATGAGTGTGCATCAGTTACGACCACTTGCGATAGCGGAAAACAATATTCGACAATGACTACTGAACTCTCAATTAGTGTATGACCAACACGTCCATTGTATGATTTCATATGTGGTTTAATTCGCCTCTTTTACTTCGAGGAGGCCAGTGAAGATCAGGGTAGAATAGATCTTCAGCAACCCATGCTTGTCGTGAGAGGCGACGTACGGGATCGGGTGGTCAGGCTCGCTGACATGATTGATGCATGTTATATCATCATCATCATATCCCAATTGCGTGGATCGATGATCATGACGTCAAAAACTGCTTTGTCGAATATTTACAGACCGCCGTCATATAGCTGGAATATTATTTAATGCGGCGTTAAGCAACAAACAAACAAACATACAAACTTCGAGGCAAAGGTTTTGGTTGTTTGCAAATGTAGTGGTCGGTACGCTTGTGTATATCGCCCCTGTTATGCATCATACTCCGCATTTAGCACCCCGCGCAAGCCGCCCAAATTGATAGAAAATATGCTGAGAGGCAAAGGAAAGATACCGAGTTTCTTTTATGTAATTGAAAATTGAGAGAACTGTTGTTAAATGTGATTTTGTCTATTTCACTATCACTCATTCCTGCAACAGTTTGTACAAAGTAATCTGTACCTGGGTACTGTTGTGTAAAAACATTACTGGTTCAATTAAGACTGGGGGTACAAAATGAATTTTCAGCCACATGACCACTACTATGTTTGAAATAGTGTAAATTTGAGCCGCAAAATGCAACTTTATTTATCTTTAAAGAAAAGATGTCTAAGATACCCATCAGCACTCTTATAATGCGAATGCCTTTTTTAACCTTTTAAACTTAAAAGTCCGCACGCAGAGCCACCACGCTCGTGTGTAGAGTGTCATTCCTGACTTTGACACTTCAAGGAAAGTCAATTTTATTATGTGGACCATTATTTCTGTCAATCTTCTTCATTCTGCTTATTGTACAGTTGTGATTTACTTGATTTCGTTCGTTGTTTGTGTACGAATCAGTGACACGGCGGCTGCAACTGACGGAGCGTCTACGGGCTGATGACATGCTGGAAACTGGCAGAAGTCAGCGTGCAGTGGCCAATGCCTTCAATGTTTCACAACCTGATATCATCAGACTATGGAACAGGTACCTCGAAACTCAAAATGTTGACGACAGGCCTCGTTCAGGGCGTTCCTGGTCAACGACAAGCGTATAGAATCGATTGATCCTGAACCAGGCTCTACGATATTGAGCTCAAACGGCGCATCAAATTGCTGTATATTTTCATCAGGCTATTGAAGTAGGAGTTGGACGATAAGATGTGTTTGTTTGTTTGTTGTTCATGGGTTGCTGAAAACAAATTCTAGCTCGGATCTGGTTTACCTTGATGTTTGTTTGTACAGGGTTTCTTTTTCGAATGTATTTCCGACGAAACACTTCGCTGTTTCCATAAACAGATTGTGTACGTTTTATTCTTTGCATGGAATCCTACAGCAGGCTTGCCATGGCGGGAAACACGTTTCCCAGACAACTGCCACGTAATCCTTGTTGGCACAGCGCAGATTGACTGAAGCGTCACTGAAATGTGTTGGACAGTCCATAGATACTTAACACTTTTTGCAAACCGTATACCATAAGCTGTCCATGCTGGCTTATCACGGAGGGAATACTCTGAATGTCACGGGCCGAAACATTCA